GTATATGGTCGATGCATAAATACCATGAAAAAGGAAGGGAACATAAAAGCAGACAATAATATCACATATCACTGCGGGTTGATTTAGTTTATATTTATTTCATTTTATTATTATTTAGAAACTTTTATCCTTTGGCGAATGTAGGCTGTAATCATTGTAGCTAAGTAAGGGCATTATCATTCAATTAGGAAATTAAGGATGTCTGTTTCTTCATGTACTCTGTCATACATTTGATTTTAGTTATTAAAATATAAATGACAAAGTTTGCTTAGACTTTTTAAATGTTGTATATTTAAAAACAGTCCTTATGTTGTCATACTTAAATGCACTAATGTTAGCGAGTAAAATCCAATCTCAATAACCTTAGTGTGGCTGTTAATTTATTTTGCCAGCTGTACAATGTCCATTTGTTAAAATATATATCAGAAGTAAGACATATAGTGTTATGATATGTCATGTTCTCTGTCACCCATAAACTTTATTTCAATGCCCCCCATCATCTTGCACACCTGTCTTCAATACTATAGCTTTCTTAGTGTATTTTTGCAATGCCTCACCAAAGTCAGAGGTACAACTTTCGGCCCACTTTATAATGCGTGGAGAACTAGAACAGCACATGTTTGTTTATCTATATATATATTTTTTTTAACAAGTTGATAACCAAATGAAGAACTGTCACTTCTCAACAGTATATCATGCGGGACATTTTCCACTGTCTTCATGTAGGCTCTCTTTGGCTTCAAGTAGATTTTTAAAAGGCCAAAAAAGTGGATTAGTTCTGTTTGTTTTTTAAGCCATGTTGCTGATGAGGAAATGTATTTTCTTAAGGATTGTAGATTAGACTTAATATCTAGTAACTGTTCCACTTTTTGTTGGTCTTGAAATTGATTTTAAGGACACTTAATACATTTTTACTTTTTCTTGTTTTTCTGTCATTCTTTTCCATTTTTTCGTAGATCTAGTATATTGTTTCATATGCGTTATTTGCATATTTATTTTCTTGACTATTGGGTGATGCATGAGATTTCAATTTTGATTGTTTCCTGATATATTGTTTCATATAAAACCATAATTTTACCCTTTTTTTTCTAAACCTACCAAGCGTTCGAGGTATTTTGAGAAGGTAAGGAGAGGGTGCATTAAAATCTCAGAGAGAATTTGGTCTCATAGTGTAAAATGAAATGTTAGTTCTTTTCTTGCACTCCCAACCTATCAGCACAGTGGCAATGACATGAAACACTTGTATTCCAAAAAAGAATTATGGAAGTACTCTTCAGAGTCCTAGCTCAGGTGTGAATTAATATATGTGTGTGTGTGTGTGTGTGTGTGTGTGTGTGTGTGTGTGTGTGTGCATGCGTTTGTGTGTGTGTACACATGCATATGTGCATGTACATACATACACAAATACATTCATACATACTTACATACACACATACGTACATATGTACAAGAAGACGTGCATACATGAATACATACATACATACATACATGTGTGTGTGTGTGTGTATATTTGTGTGTTTGTTTGTGTGTTTGTATTTGCACACACCAGAGATGACTTACAGTAAGATAGAGTTGTTATACATTTTATATTTTTTAGTATTTGAATATTTCATAATGTTTGTTAGTGTCTTCTAGAACTCCTTGCTGTGCTATTTACACTTCTAATCCTCTCTGCAGTGCCATGAACGTATCACATCATTTTCTTTGTAGATGCAGGCTTATAGTGTGATGTAGTAAAAAAAAAAAAAAAAAAAAAGATGGTAGCAGTGGTGATTATAATAAGTAGCAATAGTAAATTTGATGATAAGAAAAGTAACGCTGATAATTATGATGATGATATGCAAAAGGAGGTATCAGTGATTAAAGAGATCATTTTTCTGTGTAAAGTGTAAAGACTATATGAGATTAAGGAAACAGAAATGAGTACATTGCCCCTCCCACTGTCTGCAAATGTAGAATAATGAAGCTTTAGTTGAAATAGTGATTTGCAAAGGCATTCAGTGATTATAAGGTATGTTATATGAAAATGTTCTACTTTTATTCTGCAAGTTGCATAGTATGCAGCTTATGCTTTTGAATTGAATTTGCATATGCTCCAAGCTCTTTGATTGCTTTTAGCAAGTCTATTTTTTCATTAATTTAGAAAACCAAATAAGTGTTTACATTATTTTCTCAAACTCAAAGTAGATATCACTCCATCACTGGAAGAATAGCAAGCAAATGAAAGAAAACAAAAAATAATCATGATGATTTTAAAATCATATCTATTTGTCACATACAGTGCACAAAAAATCATTGCAATGGTAACCATCAACACCCTTCCACAGCCAGTGAATTAACAACCCCTTTTCTGATGTATGTCATTGGTTACCATTTCCAAGAGAAGTTATATATGCTTATGCTGTGGTTGGGGTTGTAATCTCTCACAAATCTCATGTATACTTTATAATTTTTTTCTTGTTAAGGAAAATGTGTGTAGTGACAAACCAGTAAAAATGTGAAATGAATCAAACGTGGCACTGCATAGGGAATTAGATATGTCACTGTGCTCTGTATTCTTATTTTAAGACCAATGAAAGCAGTATATTTGTGAGATCAGATGACAAGAAACTGGAAGGGACAAATTTTCACCAGTGTCACCCTCCCTTGCTATGACTGGAAAGCATGATATATTTTTATGTGTGTTTGAACATTAAAACCCTTAGATTCTGCAGTATGTTTTGGATGGATACTTTTCCTGATTTCCTTCTTGTTAAAATGCTGCATTATTCCATGATATTTTTATGGAGGAAAGGGAAATGAAAGATATATATACCTTGTACATTTTTTTGGTATATGTGTTGTTTCTTTTTTTGTATTCCCCCCCCCCCCATATATTTTGTTGACTATATTTCATCCTGTCCCTATTCACATTCTTGCTTTTAACATTTCCAAATGTCTTTATGTCTTGTGGATTATCACTGCAAAGAATTCATGATGTCTTTGCCTTTTCCATTCCTTTGTAGAGCAAGACCAGCAAAGTAAGTATTGGGTATTTTGCTCATCAGTGCTGTTGCTGGGAAGTGCAACTGCTTATGCTGTCTTTATTTAGTGGCTGTGGGGCCTTCCGTTTTGGAAAATTTGTCATTGCTGTTTAGAAGATGATGATAATGAATAGGCCTTGTATGAAAGTAGATATATAATATTACTTATTTTTCTTAGAAATAGTGCATGGATACTGATAATTGATTAAATATTTTTTCTGTTTATAGTAAACTGGGTGCATGAGTTAAGAAAGATAGCTTATAACCTTTTAGTATATTTATTTGAACGAAAGTTTTGTTGGTGCTATATATTGGTGCTCTTACAGATAAATTTGGAGTTTTATATTCTCTGTCTCTTTCATGTTAATTAATTTCAGTTGATGTTTACCAATAATTCAATTTAAGTATGTATGATGATAATATTTAACATTAATCATCAAGTAAATATGGATTATTGTATGCATAAATAGTTACAAGAAGACCTCAAATTTCATGTGAATTATTAAAATTGTGTTTTAATTACTTGAATAATGATATGCCTAAAAAAAAGGAATTATTCAATATAAGTAATATAAGTAAATTATTTTCTCTCCTAGTACTGTATGTCAGATGTAGATTAATTAAACAAAGTTTAATATAAATGATTTTGAAAGTTTGATCAAGCCACTTAGGCTGTAGCCCAGTGCATGACACTTGCATGTTTTTAATTGATTTTTTTCAATATTTTGTCATTTTTCAAAGTTCTGTAAATGTTTTAACTTTCTAAATATCAGTGTTTGTTTGACTGATTTGATTTATATAGATGAATATTTTCAAATAATTTTGGAATGACTATTATGAAACATGCTTATTCTGTTGTTTTCTCCAAGTGATTGAGTAACAATCAGACCTGCACATTCACCACTGGAATGAAATCTTTCTTTTTACCATGCACATTTTTACAGTTAAGGCCAATTTCAGAAATTTTAAAACTTTTTTTTTTTTTTTTTTTTCTCTCCTAGTACTGTATGTCAGATGTAGATTAATTAAACAAAGTTTAATATAAATGATTTTGAAAGTTCGATCAAGCCACTTAGGCTGTAGCACAGTGCATGACACTTGCATGTTTTTAATTGATTTTTTTCAATATTTTGTCAGTTTTCAAAGTTCTGTAAATGTTTTAACTTTCTAAATATCAGTGTTTGTTTGACTGATTTGATTTATATAGATGTATATTTTCAAATAATTTTGGAATGACTATTATGAAACATGCTTATTCTGTTGTTTTCTCCAAGTGATTGAGTAACAATCAGACCTGCACATTCACCACTGGAATGAAATCTTTCTTTTTACCATGCACATTTTTACAGTTAAGGCCAATTTCAGAAATTTAAAACTTTTTTTTTTTTTTCTCATCTTGAACTTTTTTTAAGATTGTGTAACTTTCTTTTCCAAATTTTAACCCTTTCCCTACAGAGAACTACTGAGAAACGTAAAGCCAGGCATTCAAGAAATTAAAATATAAGGAAAAAAATACTAAGACGTTACTACTATACACCAAATTTGCATATCTTTACAAAGTCCTGGCAATTGAACCAGAGCGAGGTCATTCTAACTTTGCCTATGTAGGTTTCTTATAACTGCACTTGCTCTGTGGTTTTAGTTACATTAGAAATTGACTTCAAACTTCCTGTAAAAGTCATTAGTTTTACCACAGATGATTGCCATCAGTGTGCAGAGAGCGATGCCATGCTGATCTCATGTTGAAAGAGAAACTTTAATTGAATACTATAATATACAGAATAGAAAAAAAAACATTCAAAACTGTGTAAGATAAAAATATTGTGATTATCATGGCTAGGATATAGATCTCAAATACTGCATTGTTCCAGAGGGAAAGGGTTAAAGATATATATGACACTGACTTCAGTAATAGTTTTTTTGCTGTTTTTTTTACTGTAAATATACAAAGTATACATGAGTGTGTTGTGGATATCTACCCCCTCAATGCTGGGTACCCTTTAAGCATGTTATGGTGATTTTGATGTTTCCACTTTGCTTCAGAGGGGATATCCCTTTTCTACCAAGTAAGAAAGTTGAAATCATCATATCATGTATAGTGGTCACCTGGCATGTATGTGTGTGTGAGTGTGTGTGTGTGTGAGTGTGTGTGTGTGTGTGTGTGTGTGTGTGTGTGTGTGTGTGTGTGTGTTGTGTGTGTGTGTGTGTGTGTGTGTGTGTGTGTGTGTGTATATATATATATATATATATATATATATATATATATATATATATATATATATATATATATATATATATATATATATAATATACATACACACACATATACACACTAACACACTCACACACATACATACACACACTCACACACATACATACACACTCACACACATACATACACACTCACACACATACATACACACTCACACACATACATACACACTCACACACATACACACTCACACACATACATACATACATACATACATACATACATACATACATACATACATACATACATACATACATACACACATACACACATACACACTCACACACATACACACTCACACACACACATACACACTCACATACACAGACTCTATCTCTCTCTCTTTCATACCTTTAAAGTTGGACACACTATAAACTGATTCAATCAATTACAGTAACCATGAAAGGCATAGTCATACATTTTGAAATTTCAGTTCTCTATAGATGTATTCTAATAATGGTGACTTTTTGTTCCTAACATAGGGGACAGCAAGTGATCTGGTGGTGCAAGTTGTTTTGATTGCAGAGAGCATGCGTTTGCAAGCAATGATGGCAACATACGGCATCCAGACTCAGGTTAGATATAAAAGTGTAGACTCATATCTTGGTTGGTATTTCCAAAAAAGAGAAAAAAATAAAGAAAATCAAATAAAACTTACAAGGAATGGCATGTAATGTATTTATTAATATTGCTGTTTTGCAATATTATTATGATATTATATTATTATTATTATTATTATTTCTAGACACCTCACGAAGTAGAGCCCGTCCAGATATGGCCACCTCGAGATCTAGTCAAAGTATATCAAAATCTTGGCGTAAGTGAAAAGATTGGAGTCCATGGCAGACCGCTACGTCCCATTGGTGCATTGGGAACCAGCAAGGTAATTCTAATATTGTAGCTTCGATAACATTAATGCAATTACTTTAACACATTATCTATCTCTCTGTCTGTCTTCTCTCTCTCTCTCTCTCTCTCTCTCTCTCTCTCTCTCTCTCTCTCTCTCTCTCTCTCTCTCTCTCTCTCTCTCTCTCTCTCTCTCTCTCCTCTCTCACTCTCTCTCTCTCTCTCTCTCTCTCTCTCTCTCTCTCTCTCTGTCTTCTCTCACTCTCCTCTCTCTCTTCTCTCTCTCCTCTCTCCTCTCTCTCCTCTCTTCTCTCTTCTTTGTCTTCCTCTCTCCTTCTCTCCTCTTCTCTCTCTCCTCTCTCTCTCTCTCTCTCTATCTCTCTCTCTTTCATACCTTTAAAGTTGGACACACTATAAAACTGATTCAAGTCAATTACAGTAACCATGAAAGGCATAGTCTACATTTTGAAATTTCAGTTCTCTATAGATGTATTCTAATAATGGTGACTTTTTGTTCCTAACATAGGGGACAGCAAGTGATCTGGTGGTGCAAGTTGTTTTGATTGCAGAGAGCATGCGTTTGCAAGCAATGATGGCAACATACGGCATCCAGACTCAGGTTAGATATAAAAGTGTAGACATATATCTTGAAAAAAATAAAGAAAATCAAATAAAACCTACAAAGGATGGCATGTAATTTATTTATTAATATTGCTGTTTTGCAATATTATTAATGATATTTTATTATTATCATTATTATTATTATTATTATTATTATTATTATTATTATTATTATTATTATTATTATTATTATTATTATTATTATTATTATTATTATTATTATTATTATTATTATTATTATTATTATTATTATTATTATTATTATTATTATTATTATTATTATTATTATTATTATTATTATTATTATTATTATTATTATTATTATTATTATTATTATTATTATTATTATTATTATTATTATTATTATTATTATTATTATTATTATTATTATTATTATTATTATTATTATTATTATTATTATTATTATTATTATTATTATTATTATTATTATTATTATTATTATTATTATTATTATTATTATTATTATTATTATTATTATTATTATTATTATTATTATTATTATTATTATTATTATTATTATTATTATTATTATTATTATTATTATTATTATTATTATTATTATTATTATTATTATTATTATTATTATTATTATTATTATTATTATTATTATTATTATTATTATTATTATTATTATTATTATTATTATTATTATTATTATTATTATTATTATTATTATTATTATTATTATTATTATTATTATTATTATTATTATTATTATTATTATTATTATTATTATTATTATTATTATTATTATTATTATTATTATTATTATTATTATTATTATTATTATTATTATTATTATTATTATTATTATTATTATTATTATTATTATTATTATTATTATTATTATTATTATTATTATTATTATTATTATTATTATTATTATTATTATTATTATTATTATTATTATTATTATTATTATTATTATTATTATTATTATTATTATTATTATTATTATTATTATTATTATTATTATTATTATTATTATTATTATTATTATTATTATTATTATTATTATTATTATTATTATTATTATTATTATTATTATTATTATTATTATTATTATTATTATTATTATTATTATTATTATTATTATTATTATTATTATTATTATTATTATTATTATTATTATTATTATTATTATTATTATTATTATTATTATTATTATTATTATTATTATTATTATTATTATTATTATTATTATTATTATTATTATTATTATTATTATTATTATTATTATTATTATTATTATTATTATTATTATTATTATTATTATTATGTGCATTGTCTTATCTTTCCTCTGCTGTCATGCTTTTCTTTTCATGGAGAAATGGAAGAGTGAGGATACATATTTGCTTGCATTTTTTTTGAGTCTCGGGTAGTCAGGTGCTGTCAGGTGTTCTATTTGGGTTTGGTGCTTCATTGCAAATTGCACTTTTATGAAAATGGATATAAGTAATTGGAAATAGTGAATGAAGATATTACTTTTTCCATGTACTATCATGTGATTATAGAAATTTTGTACATATTAGTTTTGAGATGTACAAGATAAGTTTTATTTATGTATTTGTGTATATATGTATGTATATATATATATATATATATATATATATATATATATATATATATATATATATATATATATATATATATATATATATATATATGCATGTGTATATGTATATGTATATATATATGCATGTGTATATGTATATGTATATATATATGCATGTGTATATGTATATGTATATATATATATATGCATGTGTATATGTATATGTATATATATATATATGCATGTGTATATGTATATGTATATATATATATATATGCATGTGTATATGTATATGTATATATATATGCATGTGTATATGTATATGTATATATATATATATGCATGTGTATATATATATATGCATGTGTATATGTATATGTATATATATGCATGTGTATATGTATATCTATGTATATGTATTTATATGCATATGTGTATACATGTATATATATGTAAGTATATGTATATGTATATATATACATATAATTATAAATGTATATATGTGTGTGTGTATATACATATATATATATATATATATATATATATATATATATATATATATATATATATATATATATATATATATATATATATATATATATAGTATGTGTGTGTGTGTGTGTGTGTGTATGATATATATGATAAATGTATAATTATATAGATAGATAGATATAGATATATATGTAGAAATATATAGATATATATCTTACATTTATTTTTTACCCTGCAGAGATGTGCATTTCCGAGAGTTGTTAGATCTGTTGGCCATGTTGAAAACAGGTTACTGTGATGGACTGAAAATTCGAACTGGCAGACTTCAGAATCTCATTGCGTCTTCTTGTATTGGTAAATCTTTTTTATTGGTTGATTACTTTTATACCATTTTGTTCCTGTAAAATTAATGAAATGGTAAATTTTGTGTGCAAGGAAAAGAAACTAATTATGGGAAAAAAACAGTTTTGCTTATAAATGTCTATTCATTAATTTTTTCAATATTATTATCAGATTTATATTTTATACAAATCACAAAATGATATTGCTATTCTGCAGTGCTCAAATTTAAAAAATCATTAGCACTGGATTTAAGTAAATGTAATGATTTGAGGAACTATGATATTATGAGGCCTAATATGATTGATATCAAAGTCCTTTAGAGTTCATTTGTTAGCAGAAAGAATTAGAGAATTGAATGTTAAAAACAAATGTTTAAAAAAAAGGGCCCAGAGTTGCATTTGAAATACCAAACAAAGCAATAACAAGTAGACAGTCAGTTGATGCAAGCCAACAGGACCTTCTTAGTAGCCACTAGCTAATTTTTCTTAGCATGGGTTAGAGTATTGAATTATGGAATGCAAGTATGGTTTAAATATTTTATAAATGCTCAAAATTCTAAAGAGTGTGTGTGTTAGTGTGCAGAGTAAAGGGAAGAATTAAGTCTTGGCAGCTATATAGGCCAGGTTTTCCTTTAGATTATATGGGATTAGTGGGACCTGCAAACAAATTTTTCATGCTCTGTTTTACATACCAGTATTTGCTTTGCCTTACAGAGCATCTGGACTTCCTGAGCACACTGGATATCGACTTGGATATCAGTCCCTTTGAGCAACTACAACATGCCAGCATTGGATATCAGTCTCTTACAGATGTTCCAACGGCAATAAAGTACTCGGAGGATTCCATGAGCTTTAAGGTGTGATTTGTGTTTCATTTTCTGTGTTGTTCAGAGAGGTATGTCAGTAGTCAGACTGAAACTAATGAAAATAATGTTATCTGATTGTAATTGGTAGGAGTTATGTCAGAAAGTCAGGAGTTTGCTGAGTTGTATTAAAGGACCAATGATATTCTCATGGAAGTCACTAGATTATGAGTTAGATTTTGCTTTGCATTTTATCTCTCTTCTGTTGTCACATTGTTACAAAAGATTTTCCTTCACTAAACTTGAAGGTAGTTCAAAATTGAAAATAACAATTTACTCATGTGATTTGGATGCATGTGACTTTGGTGATGGAATTGTATCTTATTATGAATACAGATAAATGGTTGTGTATATTGTACCTTTTATTATTGTGTAAAAACTGTTGGCTTTCTTCTTATATGCAGGATATGGCATTGCGACCCACAGAGGAAGTTATAAATGTTCTGAGGTCGGTGTCTACACTTCACGGCCAAACTCAACTCCTAGGAATTCTGCTCCGTAGAGAAGGCCAAAACTTCCAAATAGATGGTGTCTCAGGTTGGTGGCAAAGATTATGACTTCTGATCTGAAAACAAATAATCTTTAAAGTCTTTTTCTTTATAGGTTTTTATGTTTCATTTCTTTCCTAGAGAATCTGAATAATGATTTGGATTGTCGAGATGTGAAATGTTAGTAGCAGTGAAGGCTTAAGGAAATTGAAAGAGTATTATTTTCAAATAAAAGAAAAATAGGGAATCGTAAATAGTAATTAGACTGTATTGCCCTTGTATATAGATCTCTGTCTGTTTTCATGTGGTTTAAGACATGAGCTTGTAACCAAATTAACAATCATGACATTGTCAGTGTTAGTTGCAGTCTGTTATTTTAAAAGATAGTAGATTAACCAAGTCAAGATCTTAGTGTCAGAGAGACTGGAGGCCCTACTGCAGGAGGTCAGCGAGTGCCACTTCTGGGAGGCCATGCGTCTCGCTGCAGCCACCCTAGAGAAACTCTACCCGTCTGTGACACACATCACAACCATTCTTGTGCAGGGTTGCCAGGTGATGATCTTGGTTTGGGCACCTGGCTCTGTCCTCCTCCTACTGAGCCAGGCCCTGCAGGGTCTTGTAGTATGGTTTGATAGCATTTGCTTGGCATCATGTTCTTAATATGATGTTCAGTAAGCTAACAGTGCATAAGTGGGTCGTGCCTTTTGACTGAGGAATGAAGGAAGAGAATTAAGGAAACAGAGGAACCTTCATTGTACATAGATTTGGAAGGGAGCTGCACTAGTTTTTGTTAGCTATGATATATAGGCTTATAGTATCCCGTACAAGTTCAGTATTAAGTGAGTGTTTTGTAAGGATTATACCTATTCACTTCTGGAAATATACAAAAATATAGTATCATCTTGAATTTTCCAATTTGAAAAGAAATTATTTCTATTTTTAAGTACAAATAAGAAATATTTATGTGATTGTATAATAATATCTGCTTAAATCTTAATGATTAACATTAAAGGAAGTTTAAAGATAAAAAATAATTTTGAAGAAAATAAATCTTACATGAAAAGGATTTTTTAAAGGATACCATAAATGGATATATTCTATTAAAATGTTATGAACTAAGTACAAGCACTGAACGATGATTTGTAAAGACGGTACCTATGTACATTAGTATCTTGGAAAGTAAATTTGTCATCTACAGTACTGGAAGAACATGGAGAAATTATGGGGATCCTTGATGTACTGTAATAAGCATTTTTACATTATGCATAGACTCACATTACAGGAGAAGAAAGGGTTGATAATAATAGTAAAAAGAGGGAAAAAAAGAAAAGAAAAAAAAAGGTCTCACATGAGTGTCTAAGTAGGGAATTATAAATACATTTTTTTTCAGTTTTAGAAAAGGCTATACTGGTATTCAGAGCTTGCAACCAGCTGCCATTTGCCCCCTTTAAGCAAGGTTGCTTGCGTACTAACAGGATTTTTTTTTTTTTTATATTTCCTTTTATACGCATGCTGCTTTTCCTTACCCCACCTCCAGTGAGTGATCGTGTGCGTTCCCTGTTTCGTCAGTCTTCCTCTCTTCGGTATTGGGCTGTGGTTCGGGAATGCACTGCATTGCTATCAAAGGAAGTGGAGTCAATATCACCTTACATCACCACTGTACTAGTATCAGGAAAGCAGGTACTGTAAAGTAGATGATTTCTTTATTGCATGTATGTATTATGGTTTAATGGATAGTATCAGGAAAGCAGGTACTGTAAAGTAGATGATTTCTTTATTGCATGTATGTATTATGGTTTATGGCAAAAAGTATGTGGAATTGAAATTGAAAACAAAAGTTCATGTTCACTGTTTAGTAACCACGTATCTTCCCAGATATGAAAGATCAGTATTGAAAAACTGCCGAAATTGCACCTGCTATGGTTGCACTTTTAATATTACCAACCACTATTCAGCATTTAACAGCCATAATTGGAAAGATACTGTTCTTAGACTGCATTTTGTCTTGAAGTGTATTACTCTAGCATATAATTTTTTTTTCTCTCTCGTTTTCTAAATTACAATAAAAGGACGTGTTATGAAAATAGTTGCTTTGGAAAATTTGTTTTCCTATATCACACTCCTCTGCCTTTGTGATGCATGCCTTCAAGAAGTTCATGCTTTCTTGATGCTTTAGATATAGTATACAAGAAAAATAGATATTTTAAGAGGAAAATGAAAATTATTTTTTCTACTCTAACCGTTATAGATTTCACTGCTTTGTGAATTTGGCTGTTGTTTTACATTGCAGTATTGGTCATGCTTTCAGCTTTGTCACTATATAGTCATCTTTATATTGTGCTTTCCTAAAACCTGCTAAGGTTCTTGCTGAATATTTGATAAGAGATCAAATAAGAATTAACTAGGGAAACAGTATGGATTTTGTAATGATATCCATAAAGTGGTGAAGCAGATACTTTTACCTTCTTTTTTTGTATATAGGTAAGGTTTAGTGGACATATTAAGGTCTTACAATATCATAAAAAACAATATTTTCACTCAATGATTATATTTGATATATATGGGTTTCTGTATATAGTGTATATAAATGGGTATGGATTACTGTTTGCTTTTTTCAGATATATCAGGCACCACTGTGTATGGATAATGATGACATTGAACTAAGTGATATAATCTTTAACCCAATGCCGCCGGGGAAAATGAACAAAAAATGGGGAAAATGCTGTGCCTATTTTCTATGTTTTTTCATGAAATGTCTGCCCATAGATGGCTCTGCTAGTGCCTGATTTGAAATGGCAGGAAAAACGTATTTTTCACTAGTGCTATGAAAATCAGTGGTGTTATTTTTATCATAAACATTATAATCATCATAATGTGTTTTAACATTAGTAACAGCAAAATAAGATAATGTAAAATATTTTGTAAATCAAAGAAAAGGGTATACGGGCGAGATGGGCAGTACTCGGAACTGGCTCATTGGTGATTTAATACAAGTGTTGCCATCTATGCGTAAAAACAATCAAACAAGTACTCACGGCGAGCATAGCATGTACATACACGTCATACCTGTCGGCATTGGGTTAAGAGGGAAAGTTATATAATTGCTTGAAAGGCAATGTTTTGATTATTGATTGGTGATATTTTAGATGTTTGATGTTTTTTTGTCAAGAAATACCCAGTGTAATTTGTTCATCTTTTTTTTTTTTTTTTTTTTTCTCACAGCAGTTGTGGGGATATTTATATCAGTTTATAGTTTTTGTTGGCATGTTTTAACACATTGGCACGGGCACATGCACCGTCCAGTGTGATTTTAGGTTACTAATATTGCTTACATATAGATGGCTTCATTCCTTGAATTTTCACAATTATACCACTATTATTGTTATTAACATTGTTATTATTATTGTGCAGCCATCAGTGTGTAACAAAATTAATAAACAAAAATCACATTGGACTGCACATATACATGCATTCCTATCATCAGGGTATTTACTTGTTATGGTATTTACAAGTATATTATATTTTTGTTAAGATGCTTGGATGTATATTACATTTGTTTAATATGAAGTGTGCAAACCTGTTTCAATTGTGGTTTATGTTGGTTGACATATGCTATTTGGAAATTATGTTTGCAAGATGCTTTTTTTTTGCATTTTATTCCGAATTTAATGATCAGTTATTCTTTGTAACTGCCAAAGGCTTATGTTGTGGGTGAAATCACTTACTGGAGATGGTAGAAGGTCTAGGTATTTGGTTTTGCTTTTTGCCCTTTTTAGTGGGGGGATAATTTGTTGCATCCAGTTGGATATATCAGTATTTTTTTATTACATCTTTATAGTGAGACTTTTTCCTATTAAGCTTTTGTTATATTAGAAATTGATAAGTATCAAACACATCTGTATGCAGCAGTAGGTAATGTTAGTCATAAGACTAAGTATAATGTAATGATAAGAATAGAATGTGAACCCAATTGGCAGTGAACCAGGTAGATGATGGTACTGGGGGGTGAGCAAACATCCCTCCCACCTAGCAAGTAAGGCAGGCTGTGGGTCCCGCTGGGTTGGCAACTGCTGGGACTCAGACTGGTACTGGGGTTACCCTGTCTGTGTCCTAGTTGGATCTGTAGCCAGCCAGCCAGCCCTCTCTGTGTAGGGTAATGTTGGCAGGGATGGGAGAGGTGGCATCCACCCAGAGTGACTGCCCGAGGCTTAAGCTCAAACAGGCTGTCTGGATGGGATTTGGAATGTCTGCTCTTTGCGACAGGATGATGCCACTATTGTCGAGGGAACTGAAGCGGCAGAGAGTTAAGGTGGCTGCTCTCTCTGAGGTTATATGACCTGGTAACAGCACAATCAGTGTAGGTGGCTATGCCAATTACTGGTTGGGCCACAGTGATGGCCACCATCACCAACCAATGAATAGCCATAGCCATCTCCAGCAGACTTCAGCCCTAGGTAGTAGAGGTTACTCTGGTTAATGAGTGTATAATGGCATTGAGACTAAAGCTTGTGTTTGGCATCATGTCTCTTATTACTGTGTATGCTCCTACTGATGTTTGTGTGGTGGGGACCTGTTGAGCTTTTTCCCTGTTAGTTCAGGAGTGAGGCAAGTCTGTATTCTTGCACCAACACTTATCAATACTTGCATGGACTGGATACTGGGCAGAGCTACTGTCCAAAGTCATTGCGGAATGACACTAGGCAAGATTAAGGTTACCAACCTTGACAATGTTGCTATTCTCTCTGAGTCTCTGGAAACCCTAGTGGTGGCTCTAGATGCATATAGCAATCAAGTGAAGGCCCTGGATCTAGAGGTTTCCTGGATCAAAACCAAGATCTAGGACCTTGGGGGCCTGCTAGGAGAACCTGTTCGGTCTGTACATGTGTACAGCAAGAACACTGAAGTTACAGAGACCTTTACATACCATGGTAGTGTAGTTCATGACTGGGCTGTCAGACTAGGAAGTCAGTAGTTGGATTGACCTGGCAGCAGGGGTCATTAACTCTCTCAACAAGAGTACTTGGAGATGCCAATACCTGTACAGTAGGACCAAGCTACTTGTCTTCAAGGCCGTGATACTGCCAGTTTTACTCTGTGGTAGTGAGACCTGGAGGCTATCCTGTGCATGTCCAATCAACAGTTACACCATGAGACAGGCTCAGGACACGTTACTTGCACAATCCGGGACTGCCAATTTGGGCTATAAAGGCACCAGGATAATCCTGCCCACTTGGTAATCTCTATTTGAGACAACCCTGGGTGGAAGGGGACTGTGGGATGACCTAGGAAGTTGTAACTTGGCCAAATTTATCAAACTTGTCGTGAAGAGCTAGAGATGGGCCAAGACCCTGCCTAGTGCCTTGCTACAAGGGACCCTCATAGGTGGAAACAAAGGGTGGATGCAGCTATACACTTCCATTGGCATTAGCTCTGATTAATGACGATGATATATTCTTAGAATTCTACTTCCATCCATATATAAGCACGGACCACAAGATCTAATTAAACTACTTTTGATTGGATGGTTTGTAATAATGGGCTCCAAGAAATCTACGTAGGTACAAATTGTAATACCCTAAACTGTATAATATGGATACAGGTGTCAGTGGGTTAGTGTATATATTTTTGAAATAGGGAGGATTTGATATTACTATGATTAGGCTGTATTAGGTAGTTGCAACAAGTAGTTGGATTTTTTTTTCTCTCTTTTTTTTTTTTTTTTTTTTGCATTTTATTCCGAATTTAATGATCAGTTAGTCTTTGTAATTGCCAAAGGCTTATGTTGTGGGTGAAATCACTTACTGGAGATGGTAGAAGGTCTAGGTATTTGGTTTTGCTTTTTGCTCTTTTTAGTGGGGGGATAATTTGTTGCATCCAGTTGGATATATCAGTATTTTTTTATTACATCTTTATAGTGAGACTTTTTCCTATTTAGCTTTTGTTATATTAGAAATTGATAAGTATCAAACACATCTATATGCAGCAGTAGGTAATGTTAGTCATATGACTAAGTATAATGTAATGATAATAATAGAATGTGAACCCAATTGGCAGTGGACCAGGTAGATGATGGTACTGGAGGGTGAGCAAACATCCCTCCCACCTAGCAAGTAAGGCAGGCTGTGGATCCCGCTGTGTTGGCAACGGCTGGGACTCAGACTGGCACTGGGGGTTACCCATCCTGTCTGTGTCCTAGTTAGATCTGTAGCCAGCCAGCCAGCCCTCTCTGTGTAGGGTAATGTTGGCAGGGATGGGAGAGGTGGCATCCACCCAGAGTGACTGCCCGAGGCTTAAGCTCAAACAGGCTGTCTGGATGGGATTTGGAATGTCTGCTCTTTGCGACAGGATGATGCCACTATTGTCGAGGGAACTGAAGCGGCAGAGAGTTAAGGTTACCAACCTTGACAATGTTGCTATTCTCTCTGAGTCTCTGGAAACCCTAGTGGTGGCTCTAGATGCATATAGCAATCAAGTGAAGGCCCTGGATCTAGAGGTTTCCTGGATCAAAACCAAGATCTAGGACCTTGGGGGCCTGCTAGGAGAACCTGTTCGGTCTGTACATGTGTACAGCAAGAACACTGAAGTTACAGAGACCTTTACATACCATGGTAGTGTAGTTCATGACTGGGCTGTCAGACTAGGAAGTCAGTAGTTGGATTGACCTGGCAGCAGGGGTCATTAACTCTCTCAACAAGAGTACTTGGAGATGCCAATACCTGTACAGTAGGACCAAGCTACTTGTCTTCAAGGCCGTGATACTGCCAGTTTTACTCTGTGGTAGTGAGACCTGGAGGCTATCCTGTGCATGTCCAATCAACAGTTACACCATGAGACAGGCTCAGGACCCGTTACTTGCACAATCCGGGACTGCCAATTTGGGCTATAAAGGCACCAGGATAATCCTGCCCACTTGGTAATCTCTATTTGAGACAACCCTGGGTGGAAGGGGACTGTGGGATGACCTAGGAAGTTGTAACTTGGCCAAATTTATCAAACTTGTCGTGAAGAGCTAGAGATGGGCCAAGACCCTGCCCGGTGGCTTGCTACAAGGGACCCTCATAGGTGGAAACAAAGGGTGGATGCAGCTATACACCTCCATTGGCATTAGCTCTGATTAATGACGATGATATATTCTTAGAATTGTACTTCCATCCATATATAAGCACGGACCACAAGATCTAATTAAACTACTTTTGATTGGATGGTTTGTAATAATGGGCTCCAAGAAATCTACGTAGGTACAAATTGTAATACCCTAAACTGTATAATATGGATACAGGTGTCAGTGGGTTAGTGTATATATTTTTGAAATAGGGAGGATATGATTTTACTATGATTGGGCTGTATTAGGTAGTTGCAACAAGTAGTTGGATTTTTTTTTCTCTCTTTTTTTTCATTTTCTTTTTCTTTTTCTTTTTTTCTTCAATCAGATGTAGCCAAAGCTCAACATAACTTATAAGTGGAAAAATATTTCAAGTGGTTTGAGTCTGCCTTTATTAAATATTTGTACACTTGTAATCTCTTGTCTTTTCCTAATGTCGTTATTGTTCCTGTTGAACATTTGGATTGTTGATAGATAAGTTGATAATAAGTTATCAGTGTTAATGTGATGTTTTGGGTTACTCTATGTGACACTTCCTTCAAGAAATAATGGTGTATAATCATTGTATGGAAAATAATTGACTAATTGATTTTTGTTGCTGAGTAAATGATTTGGCGATTTTTTAGTTTAACAATTTGGAAAAGGTACAAGTATGAGTGCCCACAGAAGAGAAGGAAGACACTGAGACTCTGGATGCGATGTCTTAAGATGAAGTACTGTATTACCAACTAACAACAGCAGAACTGCCTCCTGAGGGTTCATTATATCCAAATTAGATACATCCAATAGAATGGAAAATCTACCTATTTGTGTTTTCCTATGTATGTTTTATTGTCTCCTGATGTGAAGTCTGTAAGAGTTGGAATTTTGTTTGTTTTAAATTACATATATATTTTTCTTTCTTTCTTTCTTGGAAATTGTCTATATATGTTGTGAGACTGTATAATAAGAGCCTAAGAATTAGGATTGAAAATTAACTATTATATATTTCTTGTCATATAAGAACAGTCTGTTTATGGGAATATTGTTGTCTCCCAAGATGAAATACATAAATGCTTATTTTTTGTCCTAGGTCTTTTGACCAAATACATGGGTGACAAGAACTGGACCTATGGAAGTTCTTTCACCAACAATATCTTCTTTCAAGTTGCAGCATATTAGAAAAACTTTTACTTGTGTTAATTTGAGAGCGATATGGTTTGGTGATATCTTTTTCAAATTTCTACTTGATTGCATGATTGCAATGCTTACTTTTGATATTTTCTCTTCTGTTTAAGGTAGATGAGCAGTAATCCATCTTTTGTGTGCATGGATCTATTTTCCTTAGTATGTGTGCTAGCATCCTTCCTCCTTAACCCAAGGTCTAGATTTTAGAACTGTTAAGTATTCGTTGAATCTTAATAAAATTCTGTTTTCACTCACTCACTAACAATTTTTTTCTACTTTGTGTGAGAAACTAACATTTTCTTTGGTCCATTCGGTTGAAATAGGCCAGAGAGATTATCTGTCAAAAGCTAATTTGCCTGTGCTATGAAATAAGTAAATAGAATCCATTGCTTTTATCAACTGCATTGCTTAGATTTTGATATAGAGTGATCATTTCATACTTTTGGAGGATGATTTAGGAATCCAATGGTATTTATTTTTAGAAAATTCTGCGCTGAAAAAGTATGAGAACAAAAGGTAATGAAAAGATCCCTTGGCAGAAGAGACTAATCTATTCAGCCTAAATTGTTTGAGTTTCAACTGTGATGTGACCACAGCTGAAAGTGTTAAATCTCTTAATCAGATCTCGAATTATAATGCTTAGCCCATAGTTATTGGAATCAACTTAAGAAATGTCTTACAAGTAATGAAAGAAATATCAACATGCAGAGTTGTCGTTTGTTCATGGTGGGGGTTTAATGGGGAAACTTCAGAAGTAATTTCAAATGCTTTAACCCTTAGCCTCGGGATGACGTGGCCGACTTGCCTGTGGCTTCGGGTGACAGGACATTCATGTCATGTTGCATTGATGCATTCATTGCATTTTATGCTGTTCTTTAAAAGAAACCCTCATGTCCACAACACATCCACTGGGGCATTGCCAGCGGGAGAATAAGATGTATAATGCTATGATTGGCTACTGTTTTGTATTAAAAGTAAATTTTAGCATGTAAATAATTCTACTGCCAGGCATGGATGCCATACACCAAAAGATTGCACTCTCTTGCTGCTGAACTGATTTGTCTCTTCTTGTCAACAAGTCACTCTGCCAGTGTGACTCTCTTGAAGAATTGAAGCTGTGACTGCATACATTCCATCTTGTACATAGAGTGTAACATACCTTATTTATTGATTTGAACTCTAATGTACATAATCAAGCTACTACAGATTCAATCTAGCAACTAGAATGCATATCATGCATCTCTGAATATGCAAAAACATTAAATTAATATTTTGCATGCAAGTAACTAAAAAAAAAAAAAAAAATCATATAACTTTGTTGGTGTGGCCCAGTGAGTTATGCACCGGCTCATCTGAAAAAAGACCCCAGGGGCAAGCCCGGAGCAGAAGCCCAGCAAACCCAAAATTCTTCCGGAGGCATTGGGTTAATGAGTTGTTTGTTCTTATCCATTCTTTATTCAAACTAAACAACTATCAAGAATGCAGGAAGCTATTGGTATGGTACAGTACCTACAAAGTATGGAGTGATAAAGCAGTGACGGACACAGATTGGCAATGAAAGTGACTCCTTATTTTTATTGTCTGTATTTATCAGTCAGTTCCTGGATGAGTAAGACTGCCTTTCCATTTTGCTAAATAAACTATAGTTGGTATAAAGAAAATTAAAATTGGTCAGAGAATGAGACACTGCACTTTATGTTGTTGTTTTTTTTCATTTCTTTCCTTTTTTCTTTTTCTTTTTTGATAGATATTGATATGGTAAGTGCTGACAGTAGTGATAATGATGATATAATCATTATAGTAGTATTAGTGTTATGAGTTGTCTTTAAAATTATAATTTTCATTAATACCTTTATTGTTGTTTTCGTCTTGAGTATAGAAGCTTTCAAGTAATATTCAATCACCTTTCCTCTCTGTAGAACTACATCAGAACCATGTACTAAGGACCTTTTTTCTCATTTTTATATGTTTACTTAAAGAGCAGACTTATACTGTGATATGAAGACTTGTAATGTAATATGAAGTCTTATAATGTGATGAATTCCTTGAATATTTTCAGATTTTGTTTTTACAGGCAGAGTAACTGTATCACACTTTTTATTTGAATATGAGAGCAATAGGTTTGATTCTCATATATCATACATTTCTTCCATACCTATTTGGTGGAAGAAAAAATATGTAATAAAATAGAAATTTCACTCAAGCAGAAGTCAGAAGTAGTAAAAGTAAAACTGCAATGAGATCCTTATATGCAACATTGCTCATTTAACTCTCAACTATTCCAGCTGACGGTTGGCTATGGTGAAGATGAGATTATCTTGGATAAACCTGTCCAACCAGGAGAAATCCATGATCTGTTCTACTCTCCAGCTCTGCAGGTAAGGATTTCAGGGTTGTGATGACAAATTTTGGGCTTTTGGTCATGCATTTGCAAGAGAATAAGAGAGAGAGAGAGAGAGTGTGTGTGTGTGTATGTGTGTGTGTGTGTGTGTGTGTGTGTGTGTGTGTGTGTGTGTGTGTGTGTGTGTGTGTGTGTGTGTGTGTGTGTGTGTATAGTAGAGTTGTCAAAGTTATATTATACAGATAACACTACAGTATGTTCTGTATACTGCAAAATTATACTTTTCTGTGAAAACTGTCTGATTCTCAAGTTTTAAGGGGAGGAGGGGAAGAAGGAGGGGTATTGCCATAGCACAGGTGTGGGCATGAGTTAAAGCAACCACAGGCAAGCTCTTCCATAAGTTGGGGAGGATAGGAAGGAAGAAAAAAAAAATGAGATACAACATAAAAGTTAACCCACTAAAGGAACATGGACCACGGGTTAAACATGGGTTAAAAGGAAGGAAGAAAGGATAGATAGAAGGATAGAAGGATGTGGAGAAAGGCAAGGGATATGGAGATGGATGATGGAGAGGGGGAAAGCTAGCATAGTTCTGGAAATTGATGTTGAGTTAGGTGAAAGGGTGAAAGTCAACACTTTTATTTATATTTTTTCACCACATTTTGTTTTGTTTTTGGGAACTGGGTAATTTGTTAATAGTCAAAAAATGTTGTCAGAGTTTAATGAATATAACACTTTTGTTTTAATATATATAACTCTTTTGCTCTGTAGTATTGAAAACAAAATTAAATGAAACACATAAAACTGTCATGAAATTAAAACTGTTTACAACCAGGTCAGGGCTGAGCTAGCTTTTCTTTTTAATACTGCAGTTTCTGGGCATTCTCCATTACCTTGCTGAAAAAAAAATTGAGAAGCAAAGATTGTGTTAGGATGCTAAATTGCTTTCCTCCTGGCAACTAACATTAAGGAAACTTAAACTAGAAGCAGAATGCTGGAGCAGGGCTCCTATTTTGATGCTGCTCAGATAACCTCTTTTTTTTTTTATTGATGTTTGGAGTGGTTGACGTTTGATGCACACAAGGGACTTCTGTGGATGGAAAAGTAACCAAACAAATGCCACTGATGTAACCTTGCAGTGATAGAATCTAGCTGTTCAAAGTGCCAGCATGATGTTTAGCAAAATTCTTTATTTCTCCATTTTCTATGGAAATAAACAGGAAAACATGTGGACACCTGCACCTAGTCACTACCCTTCCTTTTTCCCCTCCTCCCCTTACAATTAGACAATTTTCAACAAAAATGTACATTTTTGACTTTTTATAGAATATACTGCAGTGCTATCTGGATAACCTAACTTTGAATTAACTGTAATATATGCATAAAAGATACAACAACAAAACTTTGTTTATAAAGAGAATTCATGTGAGTTTTTTCTGTGATAGCTCCAGCAACCAGTCTGTTTTAAAAGGGGTTATAACTTTCTGTACTCGGTATAGGAGGGCCCGAGAATGTGGATTGTGCGTGTACAACCCAATAAATTATACTGTATTAAATCCCAGTATGTTACATATATATTTTGTGATAACACTATTATAAGAATATACACATGATCTGTTGTTTCAGGCACACAATGTGGTTCAGGCAGTGCTTCAACAAGAAGTTGTCTTATACTGTGGCAAGCTGATAGCAACACATCCTCAGCTTTTCCTTGGTATTCTCAACATTAGGGTTGGGTAAGTGTGCAAGATTTAGTATCTCTCTCTCTCTCTCTCTCTCTCTCTCTCTCTCTCTCTCTCTCTCTCTCTCTCTCTCTCTCTCTCTCTCTCTCTCTCTCTCTCTCCTCAGTCTCTCTCTTCTAAGTTCTCTCTCCCCTTTTCTGATCTGTTTTCTCTTTTCTTTCCTCCTTACTCCTTTTTCCTTCCTCCTTCCTGCTATTTCTCTCCTCCCACCTCTCTCATACCTTTACTGTCTCCTGTCATTCCACTTCTACCTCTCTTCTCAATCCTTCCTCCTCCCCCCTCTCCTCTCTCTCCTCTCTTTCCTCTCATGTCACCCTCTCCTATCTCCCTTCTCCCCTCTCCTTTTAACTCTCCCCCTCTCCTCTCCCCCTCTCCTCTCCCCCTCCCCTCCCCCTCCCTTCCCTCTCTTGTCTCCCTCATATTCCATATCCACCTCTCATCCCCTCTCTCCTTTTCACTTCCGCTTTTGTTCTCCTTACCCTATTCTTTCTTCGCCCTTCCACTGTCCCCGTCTCCCTCTACTGATCTCGTAGTATTTGTCTGTAAGTTTCTTTGTTTTTGCTTTTTTTTTACAAATATTCTGTGAAATTAAATCACATTTATATTTCCAACAGATGGGTGATCAAGGCAATGCAGTATTACTTACATGAAGTTAGAGGGACAAAAGATGTTGTTGAGGCTCTTGCTCCCAACGAAGTTAGACGTCTTGTTGTCAAGGTCCTTTCTCTCGATGATTGGGCACTTAAAGAGAAGTATGTAACTGTTTTTTTCTTACAATCATTGTAAAATACTTCCTGAAACTGATTCAGTATGTTTTGTAAGATAATTCTTGTATATAATTCAGTGAAGATTGAAAATTAGTTTTAAGATCTAAAGATTTGTAATTATAAAAGATGATTTTAGGTCAAGGGTATCCGTTATGACTAATCTAGTGATTATTTTGAATTTACTCACTTTCAGATTAACTCCCCAGCAAATTAGGGTGATTGATGGATGCCTTGGAAGAACTCCTAAGAAGTTTTATGAGAAGGTATACAAAATATAGATTTCAGAGTTCAGCTAATCAACATATACTTTTTTCCTTTTTGCAATGCTCGATTATTAAGACATTTGAATTGGAGATTGAGATACATTACTTGATTATTTTAAATGGAGAATGAGAAGCAGCATTTAAGAGTTTTATTTATTTATTTATTTATTTATTTTCTTCCTTCTTTCTAATATTTATCATAGGTTTGGCACATCCTTGTCAAAACTCCCGGAGGTGTTCGTCTTGGTGATCAGACCTTGCCTCAGCAGCCCACTCTCTCCGAGATGTCTCACAGTGATCTCAACTTTGCCCTAACTGTTCAGTCTCTTCTGAATCGCATTCAACACCCAGAATACCGACAGATTGTTGTAGAGGTATGCATACCACTATTTACTCATTTGTATATTGATTTAGTTCTTAACTCATTGGCCTTGTGTACATGTACTGTCCACTGGATTTTCTTTCTTTCTTCTTCTTCTTCTTCTTCTTTTTCTTCTTCTTCTTCTTCTTCTTCTTCTTTTTCTTCTTCTTCTTCGTCTTCTTCTTCTTCTTCTTCTTCTTCTTCTTCTTCTTTTTTGTCAGTATTATTTATACGTAGATGGCATCACACTGCAGAATCAGTTACTAGGCCTAACCTACTTTATCACATTGGTTTCTCCCATTCCGTAATTTTACATGATTTTCTTTTTTTTTCTATTATTATCATTGTTGTTTATATTCACTTTATTATTACTAGAATGCTACTAATAGTATTAATAGTAATAAAAACTTCTTTTTATTGAAGATTGAAGGAATAGGGTTACCAGGTGAGATCAGAAGGCCTAGTAATTGATTTCTGTAAATATTTATAGAGCTCTGTATGTGTAATGATAATAATAATGATAGTAATGAGAATAATGAGGGGAGCTGAGAGCATGGTTGGGAGGATGCCAGAGGAGGCTGGAGGATGTCAGTGAGAAAGGGATGATGTCACTTGAGGTTCCTGAGATTTTAGCCTGGCATAATAGGAATCTTTTATATGCAGTTCTAAATATGTCAGATGTCTGATGCAGTTTGTGGGTTAAAGCCTTATATTATCCTTAAGTGGTTCCCAAACTAGTCCAGGCTAGCACCCCCTTGGGTTCTAGTTGATTCCCAGTGATGCACCCCACCCCCTCATACACAATGTGTGCTGTGTGGTGCAGTAGTAGCATTCTCATCTAGCAATCTTGCTGACTGTTGTTGTTGTGGATGGTAACCCTGGCCATTTCTTGCACACGGGAGGTAGTTTAGAAGCCATAGACATAGACAGCCGTAATTTGACTGAAGTCACAGGAGCTTGTCACTCCAAACCCTAAGTTATTTTTATTATTACATGCAAATACACTTTTTTCTTTCTTCTCTCCCTTTTTTTTTCTTCTTCTTTTTTTTTCCTTTCTTTCTTCTTCTTTTTTTCATACTTCAAATTGAAAACAACAAGATTAAACCTAAAGATGTACCTTAATGTTTATGACATATATTGTCATTCAGATTTATCATTCTGTTGCCCCCTCTACTGCACCTTTTTGTCTCACCATTGCTTTAAGGAAGCAATGACCTAAACAGTCATTAAAGCCAAGAGCATTGAGAACAGGGTAGACATGTATTTCCTGTGCTTCTGTTTTTTCCTTGAGCAGTGTGTATGGCACCATGAGATCCCATTGTGAGTGGGTTGATATCTTATTTATACACTGGATTAGCATATATTTATTTTATAAAATTGTGCTAACGGCAGTTACTTAATCACAGAGCTATTTTTTGTTGTACTTATAATCTATTGTGTTTCAGCTTATCTCTGTCATTGCCACAATTCTGGAGAGGAATCCTGAGCTTAAATTCACACATGCAGTGGATTTGGACCAGATTGTAAAAGATGCTTTCAAGATGTTCATGAAGGTAAGATGATGAAGAATCAATATTACTGGATATCAGCCTGTTTATAATTTTTGTTGATACTTTAGTTGCTGTAGATGTTGATGGTTTGTTTGTATTATTATTATAGTTATTGGTATTAATTGCCTCAGTCATCACTGATCTCTCTTTTGAGACTAACATCTTCAGTGCCTTTGGTTAAACAGAAAAAACAAGAATGAAGAGCTGGGAATTTTTTAAATTATGGTTTAGGTTTTAACATTTCAATTAAACAGTAATAGGATGAATGATAAATGGTAGACAACAGGGTTTTCTAGTTTGAATGTCCTCATGCTACATGCGAGGTCTTTCTTTCTAGGATCTTGGCAAGGAAGTTACAGAGGACATTTCTCATCTCTACACTGTATCTGAAGTTGGACTGAAGAGCTACCTTGCACGTGCTGTAGTGAACTTCATGCTGAAGGGAGACATAAAAACTAATGCTGAAGAGGGTCAGACCTTCTGTCAGGTATCTTAGTGTTTTTTCATCTGTTTGTTTGTTTGTTTTTTTGCCTCAGATAGAGTTGCATTGACTGTTGTTTTCCTTTCTTATAGGAAGATGCAATAGTTTGGAATTCAATGGAGTCTCAGCTTTTGTTTTGATTTAGTTTTTATTATACAGTACGGATAGTATATGACATTATGATATGATTGTTTAATTACTACTTTGTGATTTTTTGTGATTGTACAAAAAGATTATACTTTTGAACTATTTTTTATTAGGTTTATATATGTTGATTTAATTGGATCATTCATTTATGTGTATACAGTATTATTATTGAGTTGTATATGCTGCAGTTTTTTAGTCAGAAGTCAATATTGTTTTGTCCTTTTCTGTATGAATTTGTATACAGAGAAGTAACATTTCATTTTTCCTTTGTGGTGCTGTTTTCTTTGTTGATGTATTACAGAAATTATTCAATTTTTGTTTTTCATTAAAGCTGCACAAATGTATAGAAAAAAAAGTATCACAGAATATGCAAGAAGCCTGTCATAGTATATATATTAGAGATTGCTTTCATGAAATTACCTTTCATGGTTGACATATATGGCAATTAATCATGGTATTCTTAAGCAGAATTCAGAGCTAAAGATAAAGATGAATTACTTAATTAAAAAGTAAAATAAAGGTAACCATACAAGTCAGTTTGCTTACTGACGCAAATTGCATTATAAACATATCTAGTCATTTCCATTTTTGTGTATATAGATATTCCGTGAATGAGCAATTTAGGTGATTGAAATTGTTATAAATAATTAATAAAATAAAGGACTGTTGCAGTTATCTTTTCAAAGAATTATTTCAAGTTCTGTATGCCCTTATGTTCCTCATTCATTTTAATCAAGTACGACTTTGTTATATTGTTTTAAGAAAATAACAATGTCTTAATATTTGATAATAATTTGTGATTGCAAATTTATTATTTACCTTTTAGGGTGTAAATTGGTCATTTTTTTTTGTCATTGTTTACAATATGCAGTCATATTATAGTGAAGTAATGATAAACAGATATTTGTTGACAGTTTTTATATGGTTCTTGTGAATTTTATTCATAGGAAATAGTTAGTGCAATTAAATGTGGCTGATATATACTGATTATATTATTCTTGATTTTACAGTATTCAAGTGAAGGCTAACATTGAGAACCTATTATAATTACTTTAATCCTCTAATAAAACTGTTAAATTTCTGATAAATTGTTTACTGTCCTGTCCAATTCTTTGCATAGATGGTGTGCAAGTTTATACATTTGTTTTTTTTTCATATAGTAAGAATTGAGTTATTTTGTTCTGGAGTACGATTTTTACGCACACACATACAGACCGACAAGATAGCTGGTGCCCAGTTCAATGGGTTATTACACAACTGGAATGAAAATATATATTTTAGACATTAGCTCCCCAATCATGTTAGGGGAATCATCCCATTAAACTTAGGACCTAGGACGTATTTTCTAGGCTTTATGATTTTCTAGGATGTTAGATATACCCATTTGCAATATATCTTTCAAAAAATACTCTTGCTTCAGCAGTTTTTATATCATGGTGTTTTAATATATGTTCAAGATTTAACTCATGTTTTCTTCTTACAGCAGGTATGGAATTAAAATGCAAAGATATGATAATGTGTTTTATTTCAAGTATCATTCTTTGCTGTTCAACATAAATTTTTACAAGTGGTGGAACGCATTGGAATGTCTTTGTCCCTTTCTCTTTTTTTTCCTAATATGCACAAATATTGTCTTCCTTCATCAATAAACTTATAAATTAACACTCAATATCAAAGTTTCTATTGGTACTTTCAGATTTGCCTTTACTAGCACAGACTGAGAACAAGTTAGCCATGAACCTAATTTCTTTATCCATATAAAGACATTTGACCCTACATTTAGTTCCAAATTGTAGGTTCAAATTTCTTTCTATGACATGACAAGTAAATTGTAAGTATGGAAATACTGAGTATTTAATAAACTCTATACTAAGTGATGGGTGCCTGTAGATCTAGAATGCTTGCAAATTACAGCTTTAAAAGTGATTGGATAATAAACGATAAAGCCACATACATACAGGAGCTATCTGTGTGAAGCTTATATTTGTTCTTTTACAAGCATTTACACATGAACAATACTGCAGCCAAGTCTGCAAAACATCTGCTGAATGATGAAAATTACCAGAAAAAAATCCTAAAGTAAACCTTCAAACATTCAAGTACTGGAGTGAGACAAACCCACAATCACATCCGTGAATGTAGCACCTCTGGAATATTTAAAGTTAGTTCTATAAATAAAAAATACAGCCTAATTTTCCAGCAAATTAAATGATACATGTAGCAAAAGGAAACTTCTTATACAACATAATCCAATGGATTGCACCTTGTGATTGTCACTCCCATCTATGGTTTAAGGAAGACAAGTGAGAAAAGAATGAATGAAGGTTTTATATACAGTATATGTATGTGTGTATATGTATGTATGTGTGTATATGTATGTATGTGTGTGTGTTTTTGTATACTTATGCATATACATATATGCACATGTATCTGTTTGTGTATGCATGTGTGATTGTGTATTAAATATGCATCCACACACACACCTGCACGCATGCACATACATACACGCACACACACATGCACATACATACACGCACGCACACATGCACATACATACACGCACGCACACATGCACATACATACACGCACGCACACATGCACATACATACACGCACGCACACATGCACATACATACACGCACGCACACATGCACATACATACACGCACGCACACATGCACATACATACACGCACGCACACATGCACATACATACACGCACGCACACATGCACATACATACACGCACGCACACATGCACATACATACACGCACGCACACATGCACATACATACACGCACGCACACATGCACATACATACACGCACGCACACATGCACATACATACACGCACGCACACATGCACATACATACACGCACGCACACATGCACATACATACACGCACGCACACATGCACATACATACACGCACGCACACATGCACATACATACACGCACGCACACATGCACATACATACACGCACGCACACATGCACATACATACACGCACGCACACATGCACATACATACACGCACGCACACATGCACATACATACACGCACGCACACATGCACATACATACACGCACGCACACATGCACATACATACACGCACGCACACATGCACATACATACACGCACGCACACATGCACATACATACACGCACGCACACATGCACATACATACACGCACGCACACATGCACATACATACACGCACGCACACATGCACCCTTTCTCTTTTTTTTCCTAATATGCACAAATATTGTCTTCCTTCATCAATAAACTTATAAATTAACACTCAATATCAAAGTTTCTATTGGTACTTTCAGATTGCCTTTACTAGCACAGACTGAGAACAAGTTAGCCATGAACCTAATTTCTTTATCCATATAAAGACATTTGACCCTACATTTAGTTCCAAATTGTAGGTTCAAATTTCTTTCTATGACATGACAAGTAAATTGTAAGTATGGAAATACTGAGTATTTAATAAACTCTATACTAAGTGATGGGTGCCTGTAGATCTAGAATGCTTGCAAATTACAGCTTTAAAAGTGATTGGATAATAAACGATAAAGCCACATACATACAGGAGCTATCTGTGTGAAGCTTATATTTGTTCTTTTACAAGCATTTACACATGAACAATACTGCAGCCAAGTCTGCAAAACATCTGCTGAATGATGAAAATTACCAGAAAAAAATCCTAAAGTAAACCTTCAAACATTCAAGTACTGGAGTGAGACAAACCCACAATCACATCCGTGAATGTAGCACCTCTGGAATATTTAAAGTTAGTTCTATAAATAAAAAATACAGCCTAATTTTCCAGCAAATTAAATGATACATGTAGCAAAAGGAAACTTCTTATACAACATAATCCAATTTGTGTATATGTATGTATGTGTGTATATGTATGTATGTATGCATATGTATGTATGTATGCATATGTATGTATGCATATGTATGTATGTGTATGTGTGTGTGTGTTTTTGTATACTTATGCATATACATATATGCACATGTATCTGTTTGTGTATGCATGTGTGATTGTGTATTAAATATGCATCCACACACACACCTGCACGCATGCACATACATACACGCACGCACACATGCACATACATACACGCATGCGCGCGCGCACGCACACACGTGCACTTGCACACACGCACGCACGCACGCACACACACACACACACACACACACACACAGAGTATTTAGGAGAAAGGATAATGGACTACTAGTATAATAATTTTTAAAATAATTAATAAAATGAACTGTTATCTGGTATATATATATACAAAATGTAAGTACATAAAAAAGTGAAAACTAAGTAAATAAATATATTTGTTTTGGTTTCATTAACCATCAGTCTCATGTGAGGTTGAAGGTTGAAGGAAAACATCACAGATTTACACTGATTGTGCCTATAAATACTTGTGAAGCATGTCCTATTGCTACAGTTTGGTCTTTGTCACATTAATATGCAAATTTAGAGAAAGAGTCCAGGTTCAAACCAACCACTATTTCTACAATTCGATGGCATTAATATGAATCCCCAAGAGTTGTGTCAACGTTCCTGACTTGCATCTAATATTTATATTACAATAAGAAATGAACGCTCACACTGTCAGATGTAATTAAGTTGCACCATTTTCCACTAATGTCTTGGCCCAAGCCATCCTGAGTCCTGTGACTAGCCAAGACCTGCTGGCCTGCTGGAAGGGGACCTATCTGGGAAACATTACCACTGACTCATTGGTAGGGATGGAGTCCAAGGCTTTAATTCATACATTGGCATTCCTGGATACCCTTCTAAGATAATTTGATTTTAAATCCACTTGTCAAAAATACCCAACATGTATGGGGGAAAGTGGCTAGTACATACTTGATTACTAAACACTTCCTACCAAAAGATAGAAATGATAATGTCCCATGTTATCATACTTAATTCACAGAATTACCTCATAAATATGAAAGTATAAAGACATCCATAAATGCACACTTAATTGACATGGTCCACGGGATTATATGGATGAACTAGTCTTTAAGGTCGCCAAATATCCTACAGAATACATGGCAACTGTAGTTATTTAGTGTCCTATAGCCAGGACTGGTTGTGATGTCTTAAATTAAAATGATTTCAAATACAATTCAATGACTACTGGTTTCATTATATGACTCTCCTTCCCTAACTTTATGTACATTAATAAAAAGTGGGTTTCTTATATCTAAGTTATGGTTTAAAGCTGTCCACTCCATCAGTAGCATATCACTAGCAATCAGGCTTTTATCTAATCCTGATCCCAACAAAGAAGTCAGAGTAATCACTAGCATGCTTCTCTCTCCTCGTGAGTCGCAGAACCATTCTGATATGCATCGTCACAGTTTCTCACTTCTGGCAACTGCTCGAGGAAAGCATCAGCGAGCGTCTGGGACTTTTTTCTGCCCACAGTCTCCCTAGTTGGAGAGGGAGTCGATCTGTCACTTGTCACGGAAGGTATTCTCACTCTGCCTTCTTCGCTTAGGTAATCAATGTGTCCATTTTCTTCCCTTGTAACGGAGTCTTTCTTTGGCAATGAATCTACCTCATCCAAGTTTAATCTCAGATCTTCTGTGTCTTCAGCATCTGACTCAGGACCGCTTACAATATCCAGTCTTTGCATGCTTACAGTGCGTGTGAGACGGCGGTTGATAGCAGTCAGTCGGGCAATCTGCATTAAAGAAACACTTTAGTATCCAATTACATTTTTACGAGATTCATGTCGTTTATAATAAAACAAGTTTATACACAAATGCTATACAATGACATTTACAGAAATACTGATAATTGTATTTTGTCCATCATATATCTGTTTGCAAATAATCCTATTAATTTAATGATAAATTAAGAAAATACAGACCCATATATCAAATCTAAATTTATAAAATTGCAAACTATAACTAATAAACATACAAATGCATTTTACTCTCCTACACAAATAGTTTTAAAACTAATGAGATGAGCAAACAGTATTTATAATCATGCTGTTGTATACTTCCTCAACATTAACTTCCATTACCCATTCAAAGAAAAGTTAAAATCAATGATTCATAGCATTTTCTTCTTGTAAAATCAAAGCTCCATACGTGTGATGATAGCCTAACTTGAAAAACAAAATAACAATAATCAGAAACTGTATACCAATGCACAGTAATAATTACATATGATCTGCTTCCTACTGCAAAAGAGAAGTTGCCACATAAAATCAACCAAGATTTTATGATATCACTGGTATCTACATGTTTTTCAAAAATTATTGTAAAAAAATACATATACACTAATTAAAAGAAAAAAAAACACTGAAGACAGCTACATGATTTAAACACACTAACACTAGTATTACTATGATATGAGGAAATTCTAAACATGTTAGTCCTAATTAAAGTACAATTCTTACATTTATGACATTAAGATATAATGCTTGCGAAAGGGAATCTGCCACTTTAAATTGCTGCATAAGGTGACAATCCTATGGACAGTGGGGGGGAGGGAAAAAGAAAAAGAAAAAAAATTAATGCTAGAAATTTTCCAGCAATTCTACAGATGTTTTCTTGTAATTAATCAATCGTGCACTTGAATGAGTATGCGTGCAAAGCCCAAGAGATGTTTTTGTAATCTCTCACGAGGTTTGTTTTTTTTTAACCTCCAAACTAAGTTCATAAAACTCACTGTTGCAAACCAATGAGAGAAGATAAATGAGAAAATGAGACAAGTATGATGCATAACTTAAATAGGTGTTTAATTTTGCATTAAATTATTAAAACCATTGTAAAAGTGTTATTTCCCAGACGTCCCAAATAAAGTGACACCAAGGCAATGGATGTTTAAGGTAGAAGTTTATTTCTCGTCATTTTAGGTATATTTAATTCATCTTTTAGGGAGCATTTTCTAGATGACATGCACTACTGTGGCAACATTTTGTTTAGAATATACATTAATACTGAATAACCAGTCTATACAATTAGAAATGCTATGTACAAACAGATAAAATGCATCACTTAAATAAAAAAGTGAGATATCATCTCTCCTTTTATAAAGGAATATGTAATCACCAGAAAACACACAAACAAAATATATTATATAAGGAATAACTCTAAAAAAAATTACATATCAAGAAAAATCTGTAAAGAATTGTATTTATCCAGGCAGAAAATGACTGACATGCTTATTGAACACCAAGATGGTGTTTCTACATTTAGTGGTGTTGTGTTCATGCAAACTTTATAATGCCGAAGCACTTACGCTGTCCTTACTTCTCTGTCGGCTGAGGGTGCAAGTGTGTTAAAAAAACACATTTTAGAGTGATGAGATGAGAGAGACTAGAACCTAATTAGTACAGTGTATTACAAGAATAATTCACTAGTTGAGTCTATACTTAAAAATAACAACAGTGTAGCTTTCCATTAGCCAATGGTTATAATGTTATTTTATATTCATAATGCTTACACAGGAATTTTTCAAAGAATTTTCTCTCTATTCTTGAGTTTGTTTGGACAATATCAATAATTTATAAATATAATGATGGATTACATAAAAAAAATATATAAATACCTACATATTTGAAAATAAAAAAAAAACACAAATAAAATTTAGAAATCTTCTCCAGCTCATAAACTTTAGGGTTTTGGAACTATCTTCAAAAAATGTGTCTGTAATCCTTGATGAAAGGTGTTGGGGCCACAACATTGAATTCTTTGATGTTTGACGTTGAATCACCATCCTGGTAGGCTATCTAACCACAATAACACAAAGGATGGGAATGGCAGGCAAAAGCACATGAAGAAACTGTAATTTCAGCTGAACTTGGGATGGTATCAGAGACAATAAAGCAAAGCTCAGTGCACGGCATCTATTACTATAAAATGTGAAACTGGGAAGTTTAATATCCTGTGCTTTTATCTTTTCATATAGTAATGGTTAAGAAAATCATTTAAGGGAAGGATTAACCACTGATATAACAAAATTACACCTAATCAAAGCAAATGAAATTAATACTAACACTTATACCATAGAGAGAAAAATCCAAACAATTTTTTTTTTCTCATTATTCCCTTATTCTTAAACAAATTAAGCATCAAAATGGAGAGAGAGTTTAGATGTATTTAGGAAAATCACTCAGGAATTTGTAGAAGGACTCAGGGGTTTAACTGCACTGTGGTACAGCAGAATGATATTTGGGTCACTGAGTGGCTGTAAAGAGATTGGTGTGATATTCATGGGAGAACACACACCTGTGTGGAGAAGCACTGGTGAAAGTGGCAAGTCAAGCCTGTGTTAGTGAGGACGGTATCATAGCTGCAATAAGCATGGAGATGTGAGACAGGTAACTGAAGGTGAGCAACTATAGCTGGTTCTTGTATTTCACTTTTTTCTTTCTTTCTCTTCTAGTACTTTTTTCACAGTCCATCAAGTCAAAGGCATTTGTCATATACATACCTTGTTATAGACAATATTAGATCAACACAAGAACCTGTGTCATGGTATATAATTACTGTGCAGTGCAGTGTTTTTTAACACCAAGTTTTGTGATTTTTTTCTGTGAATGATCACTTCATGAGACATGAGACTCCTAACAATCCTGTAACTCAGTGAAAATTCTACATGCAACACCATGAGTGGTAAGAAATCATGACACTTAAATTTGTGGTAATATATAATTTCCAAAAAAGAAAAAAAATTATTTTTGGCTGATTATGAGAAGATAACCATTGGTGTTGCTGCTGAATTTGCATCTGAGTTTTAGTTAATAAATGTTAACCACTTGTCCCCTACCTCTGATTTGAGTTCAGCAACTTTGTCCTGAAGGCGGGGTACCTGGTCGCTCTCACTCCCACTTACCCGCGAGACTTCACCCTCTGTTACCAGCTCTTGGTTCTGTTGAAAGCATCACACATATTATTGGGCATGAAAAAAAATGGAATTTTCTACACCCTTAAGTTATAAAGGAATATTTAAATAATTCTTAAAGGACAGATATTCTCCATCATCTCTTCGGTAAATTTTCACCATTATTTCCTCAATAACTTAATGTAAATCTGTAACTGGATACAGCCAATAAATCTTTCAAAAACAAAAAGACTTGCCTTATACTCCAATGAGGAAATTTTCTGGGTAAGTTCCGCTAAGCTTTGAGACTTCTCAGCTTCACGAATTCTTGCCAGCATCTTCTCCTCCTTCATCTGAAATATCACAGAGATCATGAAATCACCTCCCCACCTAATACATCACATACTAATGCCGATTTCAAGCGTTTGCCAAAGATACATAAATACGGACTACATAACCCTTACCTGGCTCTCAAGGTCAGTATACTTTCTCTTATGCTCTCCAAGCTGTGACTGCATGGTACGGATGGTAGCCTCGGCAGTGTCAAGAGACTCTTGTAATCGCTTGTTCTCTTCCTCCTGACGCTTCATTTGGTTTGTGGACACCTGAACAGCTGTTTCAAGCTCCATAACCTAAAAGAGGTGGTTAGAAGAGTTACTCATATATACATGTTTGCTTATGTGCATTAGCTGTGTGCATGTATGTGTGTATGTGTATTACTTCTGACAGATCATATACAAGGTTTAAAAGAAAGCCATGAATATTTCAGATTTTTCTTAACAGACTTATCTAACCTTTAGTCTAGCCTCCTTCAGCTCAGCCACAGCAGCAGTCTCATGCAGCTTAGTTGTCATGAGTTCTTCCTCAAGCTTTGCAGCTTCGTTGGACCGGTCCCAGAAGAGACCACCCAATTTCTTGCTTGGTGTGCTTGTAGCATCAGCCTTGGCAGCTTCACTCTTATCGCCATGCTGATCCTAAGTCGTGGGTTATAGATTGATTAATACTGAAATACTGAAGAAACTGCCATATTCCTACATCTTTATGACCTAGTTCTTTCACTCTCACATCAATGTAAATATCACATAACGATGTTCAGATATAATAAAACAAGTCTGCACAGTACCTGCACATGCTTTGTCCACAGCTGTGTGAGTTCCTGAACTCTGTGTCTCAAATCCTTAAGGGCAAGATTGGCTTCAGCCTCCCTTAATCGCACAGCAATCAGTTCCTCCTGCAAGTGGGCCACTGAGTGGTCTGGAGTGGCCTCCCTCAGCTTCTTCTGTTCTTCCTCAAGCTCTTGGATTCTGGCTCGAAGGTCGCGAATGGTTGCCTCTGCCTCGGCCGTCTTTAGTCTCACCTGCACACAATCAATGGATCTTTGATATTTAACCAACAATTGAGTTTATGAACAACAACAACCAATGAAGGGATACCTCCATATCCTCTGAGATATACATGAGAGGCAACAGTTTTCTCACCTGCACAAGCTCTTCCTGCAAACATTTAACAAGTTCTTCTTTCTGAGTAAGTTCTTCCTCCTTTATCATAAGTTCTGCCATTGATGATTCATGAGAAGAATAATTCTGAAACAAAAAGAAATCACAGTGTTCAAACATGCATAACAAGTATAAATCAATTGCCTCCTGACAGTTTAACATTTACATTACTCATGCACCGTAAATGCTACATAATTGGGTTTCAATTGACATGGCTATGTAATTACTTGTTGTAAATCTATTTTAACAGTGTTCAAGGTTTTGATGTATACCAGGTCAATAAGAAAACTTTCTAAACACTTAATCCACAACACCTCCATCACTTCTCTTCTTTTTTTTTCAAAGAACCAAGTTAGTCAAAGGATGACCTTATCATCAACAGAAATCTTTCTTTCCCAATGAGAGTTTAAATAAAAACTGGAACAAAATCATAGGTGGCCCCCTAAAAACTAAATGTATAGTAGAAAGAACTGATCATTTTAAAAGTCTTCTGCCCTCTAAAACAATGCAGACAAGGTGGCAAGCAGAAACAAATATATGTCATACCTCTTCTATCATTCCTGTGAGCTTTCTGATCTTGTCACGAGCATCTCTTAAATGTTCCATGGTCTCTCCATCATGCTGTCTTAGAGCTGCTAGTTCACGCTAGAAAGAAAAAAAACACGGATTACTCAAGGAAAGAAAAGACAGAAATATGCAATATCTATTGACCAAAAAAAGTATGCAAAATCTGAAGACATCATATTCCATATTACCTTAATGGTAAAGTTGAAATTCTCATGGAAAGAAAATTCACAGCCAGAAATATACAAGCTGCAATATCTATTGACTAAAAAAAGGTATATAAAATCTGAAGACCTTATATTCCATATTACCTTAATGGCAAAGTTGTGTTCTGCTTCTTCTGCACGGGAAACTTGGCCTTGAATCAGTCTGTCTGCTAGAGCTGATGATTCAGCCTCCAGGCAGTCTATTCTTTGCCTGAGAAGTCTGTTCTCTGTTCTTAATCTCTGTAATGGTAAATCATACTTTTAAAAAAGGTCTATGACAAAAAAAGACAACATAGCCAAGATATTTACATTTTACCGACTTGGGTTTTATTAAGAGCTGCCTTGTCCGTGAAAACCTAAAACATTTTCTTAAATAAAATACTTTTATCTTACCTTTAATTCTACTAACTCTTCTTGCTCTTTGGTTTTCATAGCTGTATATTCTTTCTCCATCTTCTTCATCTTCTTAGGATTATAACGTAGGGAATAAGCTAGTGAAAAGTAGGCTTCAGGATCAGCCTCAAATTTGGCAGGTAGGTCTCGTTGGAAATACTGAAATGTACACAAGAAGTAACTAAATTAATCAAAATGAAACTGAAAAAATATAAGACCACTTCTCACAGAACTCTCAAAAAGATTGAAGACGAGATATATTTGTCTTAAGTCAGAGCTGTTTTTCCCTTACCTTGAGCATGCCCTCCATATCCATACAGAACAAGTCCTCCTTGCCTAAAGTTAAGCAAGCTAAGGCTATCCTGAATATAACTTCAATGCCATCCACTAGGAAACTGTCCATTACACGGCAAGCCAGTGGCTGAGGGAGTGTTGTTGAAAACAGTGTCAAGAACCAAGATGAGGCATACCTGTAAAACAAAGACATTTAATTAGATATATGTATATGGCAAATGTTCAAAGGTAGCATACACTCAAATAAGGAAACTGCATTTTTACTTCCTTAAAACATCAATCCTGCATGTAAATTATCATAAAAAATGAAATGAAAAACAGTAAATAAATGAAAAGAAAAAAAATTCAATACACTTACATAGATGTGTGGAAGCTCTGAGAGGTGAAGTGAGCATGAAGATCTGGCAGATGTTCTTGTATGAGGCACTCCAGCTGGTACATGCACAGGCCTAACTCCGCCATTGAAGGCTTAAACATTTCGCGCATCCTGTAGTCCTGCATAAGCTTCACAAGAACAGCAAATGCTTCCTCTTCTGGCATCTGGAAATAACCATCACAAAATTAGAATTTCTACATTGAGGACTAACACAGCCTTGACATTATGATAATAAATAAGCTGGGATAGGGTTATACCTTCATTTCCTTCCCAGGTATCACTGACCTTTGATTCTAAACCACTTAATATGTAACTTCTTGTAATACAAGTTATCCAAAGGGGAAAACAAATAACAATCAGAACAAAAAATATAAGAATATCTGAAATACCACTTTAATGCACCACCAAACTAACCTGCATAAGTAGAAGCCCAACAATGAAGGCCGATCCCTGGCAGTAGCCGACTTCCCGGTCATGCAGAGAGTACGCCTTCATGACGTTAAACAGACTCTCCTGGCCTAAGCCGTCCTTTTCCTTGAAGAAGTCATGCTCGGGGTACGTCCGAGCAATGTCTCGCCTGATTACCTATAATGAACAGAATATTTTAAACACCTCTGTCTCTAAATCAAATTTCTAAAGATGTTAGAACTTCATAACAATGGGACACTCTCTATCACAAAGACAGGCAATTCAAGAATTTTACAAACCTTCTCACAAGCAGACGTAGTTCTAAGATATTCTGCATATTTGCCCTTTTCTGGCGAGTTATGTGCCGAGCAAAGGAGCTGCCATGTTATTCCTCGGAAATGGTGAGGGATACCCTTGCGTACCAGCTCCTAAAAAATAAAAAAAAAGGTTACTTCAACAAAATCTCAGCAACATAAACACCATACATACACACATTGATAACAAAGCTCTTTGAAAATAACAAGCCACTACACATACATCTTCATCTTTCCCTTCAAGACCTCTAACACACATCACGCAAACCACACACACATCCCCTTCAGAGCAAGACGATGCCAACCTACGACAACAACCCACCTTGAGCTGCAGACTCTTCTTCTTCTGCCATGTCTCCCAGTCATTGACCAGCCTTCCCCACTGCCCCCAGAGGTCCTCTTCGGGGTCCTGCGATGCCGTCCCGCCAGTTGAACCCCCGCCAGAGGAACCCCCTGAACCCCCGGAAGCCACCGAAATCTGCAATCACGTCATCTCATTATAGATAAATAGAAACAGTTGATATCAAATCATTTTTCATGTCTATATCTCTAGTGTGTGTGTGTGTATGTGTATGTGTATGTGTGTGTGTGTGAGAGTGAGTGTGAGAGTGAGTGTGAGAGTGAGAGTGAGAGTGAGAGTGAGAGTGAGAGTGAGAGTGAGTGTGAGAGTGAGTGTGAGAGTGAGTGTGAGTGTGAGAGTGAGTGTGAGTGTGAGAGTGAGAGTGAGAGTGAGAGAGAGAGTGTGTGAGTGTGAGTGTGAGTGTGAGTGTGAGTGTGAGTGTGAGTGTGAGAGTAAGAGTGAGATTGAGTGTGTGCATGTATGTATGTGTATGTGCGTGTGTGTGTGTGTGGGGGGGGTGCATGTGCGTGTGTCTATCTCTTTTTAAGTGTCATGTTAAGTGTCATGGTAAGTTTCTATATGACTTATGTTCTCTAACACATCATAATATATGAAGACTGACAAAAAGGGTAGATGGAAAATACGGAAAAGGCATACCTAAGTCTTTCGACCAAACGAAAGACAAATCACTGAAAAACTGACAAATAAAAATGAGCATGGTAAGTGCGAGGTGAAACTGACATGCGAGAGATGGACTAGAGGTGAGAGAGGGAGGAAGCAGGATAGGGAATACAAGAAAATGCAATGAGAAATAAAGAACATAGAAAAGGAACGAGGATAGAAGTACGAAATGGACATACATAATAAGTCACATGGATTGGGAGGGAGGGAGGGAGGAAAGGCGACAGAGAAGGAACAAAGGAGAAAAGGAGGGACGGAAGGAACGAAGGAGAAAAGGAGGGAGGGACGGAACGAAGGAGGAAAGACCACAGAAAAAGAACGAAGGAGAAAAGGAGGGAGGCAAAGCACGAAGCAGAAAAGTTTTTTTCATCAATTTATTTCCCTCAGAGTGCGACAAGCAGAAGGAGGGAAAGAAGGCCGGCGGAAGGGGCTCGTCGAAAGAGGACGAGAGAGTCCGACGCGAGACGCACCTGAGACGTGTCTGAGGACTTGCGGGAGTGGCCGGCGCCTGGGGCGGAGCCTACGGACTGCGTCGAGAGAGAATTGAGGGACTTGGAATCGGACTCGATCAACCTGGAAAGATAAAAAAAGAAAATACTCATTAACAATCAATCATAAAATGACACACCTCATACATACGAAATTGGTAAATTGGTTCCTGTGATCAGTGAGTGATCTCCAACACTCGTGGGCACTACAATAAAATACAATAAGAAGGAATTTAGTTGACTTTAGTGGATGTACATGCATTACCCATTCACAAGAAATGAAACTCGGCAACATTCAGTATCGTAAAGCGAACGACAATTAACTATTCAAGAGAGCTTTTACAGGCACGCTGCCCTCGCATTGACTTTACAAGAGGGGACGAAGTTACCACTGATGATGTTATGTCAATCAAGACGATATCAAGATCCAAAGCAACACACAGGCATTTCTCTCTTAAATGACAGGTGTTCAGTATGCACCTCTTAAAGAGTCTTCTATCCCTGAATCACATCTGCAACTTCAATATTCCCCACAATATTCACCCTTCATAACGAACCAAAACATTTTATTGCTTTTAAATGGCTATCTGTCATCTACCACCGTGAGCTTAAATCATCGCACGGCATAAAATATTGAACTGTTCACCCACGGGCAAACAAACATCGCGTTATTAAAAGCATAAAGGATGGGCTACTTATGCATAATTAGCAAGTGCGCATATCTAGCGAAAGAACCCTCAGGTATCTCACTATCAGCCATGAAGTGTCTAGGATGAGAAGTGCGGAGGGGGAGGGAGAGGAGGAGAGGGAGGGGATAGGAGAGGAGGGGAGGGATAGGAAGGGTGGGGAAGGGAGAGAAAGGAGGGGAAGGGAGAAAGAGGAGGACGGAGAGAAGAGGAGATAAGGGAAAGGGGAAGGGGACAGGCAAAGGGAGAGAAGGGGACTAGAAGGGAAAGGGAAGGGAGTGAAGGAAATAGATGGAAAGAGGGGATGGAGAGGAAATGGGGAAAGGAAAAAGTGGGGGAAAGGAAGAGGAGGGAAGGGGGAAGGGCGAGAGAGGAAGGGAAGGGGGGGGGGGCAGGAGGGGGATAACTTCTTCCGCTGCTTGAAGGATATTAATAATTCAAGCGCGGCGTGAGAGCCTCGTGTACGCAGATTATGCTGGAAGCAGTCTCACCATTTCATGAATTTTAATGAGTGCGACCTGAGACTGAGCTCACCTGTACGCAACTACTCCCTTCTGCACACCCCTTCCTCCTCCTCGTCTTCGCCTTCTTGTTTTTCCCCTTTATCTTTCCTCTCCGTTACTTCCCTCTCCTGTGTCCACTCACAGCCGTCTCTGCTTCCTTTCCGCATTCTTTTCCTCTCTCTCCCCTTCCTCATTTACTACTACAAATTCATTCCCTCTCAATAACGGAGCTTAACTATCATTTCGAGGCACTGCCGTCAAACCGAGTACGTTTCAGAAGTATTAAAGCTGTCACTCCCTTAGATCCCATCCCTTCTCTCTCCTTTTCTGTTCCCTTTCCCCTTTCCTTTCCCCTTTCCTTTTCCCTTCTCCTTTCCCCTTTCCCTCCCTCCCTTTCCTTTTCCCTCCCTCCCTTTCCCGTTCCCTCCCTCCCCCCCTTCCCCATTCCCTCCCTCCCTTTCCCATTCCCTCCCTCCCTTTCCCATTCCCTTCCTCCCCACACGTCAAAACAGGGCAAGTTGCCCCCAGGACATGGTGCCGTCAGACGACAGACATCTGATTCCACCTATCAGTCAACTAATCTACTATATCAGTTAGCCGCTGTCAACCTATCAGTCAGTCAAACAGTCAATCAGTCCGTCAGTCTGCTTGTGCGCGCGTGAATGCTTCATCAAAGTCAGAATCCGAGAGAGAGCGGCGGCGGCGTCTCCTCCAGACTCCCACGAGAGAATTGTACAAATGTAACAATTTCCTCCTTGAATTCTGCCACGGCTTTGACTGGAATTATGAGCAGGCAGAGGGTACTTGGATATAAGTTAGGGAAGGCGTTGGGGGAGGGGAGGTAAAGAAAGAAAATGAGGAGTGGGCGGGGTGGAGAGGGAAAAGGAGGCAAGTGGGCGTGGTGGGCGGCCCAGTCTACCTGTGAAATGGTACGGCGAAGAGCGACACCACCTGCTGGAAAGGTAATTAATCTCCGACGTAAACACTCCACTAGTCACCTCTCCCCCAGCGTATGATAATTATGTCGGCGTAAGTACAGTATACGATTAGCATATATGTAAACTCTCTCTCTCTCTCTCTCTCTCTCTCTCTCTCTCTCTCTCTCTCTCTCTCTCTCTCTCTCTCTCTCTCTCTCTCTCTCTCTTTCTCTTTGCGTGTGTGCGTGTGTGTGTGTGTGTGTGTGTGTGTGTGTGTGTGTGTGTGTGTGTGTGTGTGTGTGTGTGTGTGTGTGTGTGTGTGTGTGTGTGTGTGTGTGTGTGTGTGTGTGTGTGTGTGTGTGTGTGTGTGTGTGTGTGTGAGAGAGAGAGAGAGAGAGAGAGAGAGAAAGAGAGAGAAAGAGAGAGAAAGAGAGAGAAAGAGAGAGAGAGAAAGAGAGAGAGAGAGAGAGAGAGAGAGAGAGAGAGAGAGAGAGAGAGAGAGAGAGAGAGAGAGAGAGAGAGAGAGAGACCGATCTCAGAGACAATCGCAAAGGATGACATCTAGTGTATACTCAGCCTTGAAAGCAAATTAAAACCAATCTTTTACAAATCAAGAAGACATCAAGAGAAAAAGCGCAAGTGCCTGTAATAAACGCGATAACGCAGAGACTTTATGCGTACGTTATGAAATAATAAAAGATGCTTCGTCGGCTGCCACTGCCAAAAAAGACTGAAATCATTTCACTTAAAGGCAAAGAGAAAGAGGAATTTCCGAAAGGGTAGGAAAGGCACGAAGGGGGGGTGGAGGCAGACTGTGCTTCGGAAACGTAAAGACAAAGACTATGAAAATGTTCCTTGGATGACCTTCACGAAATTTGCAAAACTGTCAAGGCTATTTGGTAATTATCAATGCTGACGCGGAAAAAACTATAATGAGGGGAGTATGAAAAGAACAATTAGAAGTGTTAGCAGCATGAGTGGTTAAAATTCAATCTCTCGCACCAGTTCTTGCCCCATTCGAAGACCTCGACGATGAGGCTCCTGCGTCGCTCGCCGGCGTTTTTGTTGCGGTGGTCCTCCGCTGTCTTGTTCCTTGTCCGCTCGTCCTGCTGGGGGATGCTAATGGGAGCACTGCTGACGGAGATGCTCCTGCTAGGGAGGGAGTGACCCAAGAGCTCCCCCGACGTCACCACCTGCGACAAGGAGCGCTGCACCCGCGGCCGAGACGCGTATCCGCCGAACATCCCGAAGGCGTCGTCATCGTCGCTGGCGTTGGCGTCCATTGTGACGGAAGGACACTCGTCCTGCCTCAGCCCTTCGTCGCGAGGGGCCGCGTCGCGCTACAATTCACCGTGTTCGTGTCGCGTATCGTCTCACACTTACTCTTCTGGCTCATCACTACACCTTTCAGGACGGCCTGTGTCACCTGGTCCTCAATTCCGCTTCGGGGAAGTCCCCGGAACCTTCACTCCCGCGCGGGACGACGCTCGCGGCCAAGCATCGCGTCTCCTCAAAGCCACCGCCGTCTTGACTCAAGGGCGCCGCAGCCAAGAAGAAACGCACACGCGAGAAATCATGGCGGCTGAGATATCAAAGAGTCATGAATCAGCCAATAGCTGGCCGCCACCCACCCTGCACTGTCACTGCTCCAACTCACGCGAGTAATTCTTTTGATTTCATGCTCTTGTTGGCGGCAAGGAGAGTCTTCTGATTCCTTTGCTAATCACTGTATATATATAAAAAAAAATAACTATGGATTTCCTTGTGGAAATAAGGTTAACATACACGAATCACTAGTTTTACTGCTTCCCCATGAGAGTGCATGGCGATGTGAATGAAATCTTGCAGTGCGATTCCTGTCTTCGTCCAGAGTAACCTCGCCTGCCAGTTCTCTTACCACCTACGTTTTTCCCCTCCCTTCCCCACTTTCCAAATCCATTCAGCCAAAAGCACACGCGTTTACAAGGGGTTGATAATAACGGGCTCTGCGGTGTTATTCTCCCCTAGTGCTACCCCGCCTATGCCTCACGATTACTTATTCTACCACTGACTGTTTCCTCGCTTTCCAACCACCTCGGCACCACCCTCTCGTTCACCTTCTCCCCCCAACCAGCCCCCCAACCCCCCCCCCCTCCAACCCCACCCTAACTTTCCCTCTCCCTCAAGTGTTATAATTAGGCGCGAAGGTGGAAGGGTCGTCGGTGGACCTGAAGCAGTTCGAGGAGTCCACTAACGTCTGAAGGAGCCGGGATCTTGAAGCCCCGAGTGTCTTGGCTCACCTTACGCATAAACCTGCATTATAATGTACACAAACGGCCGCGGGGCTTAGGTTACTCGCACGAGGGTGGGCGGGAGGCTTAGAGTTCTCCCTGCGTACACCCTCTTCTAGCGTTTCACGGCCGCGAAGGAAGACGAACAGACGTTGATCGCGCCGACGACGGACGGAGGGGATTCAGAGCGCCTACGGGAAGCGTTTTGGCGCGGCTATTATTCAGCACTGAGCCCCGCACCGGGAGCGCTCGACCCATCACCTTTATAATAACGCCCCTTAAATCACAAAGACGGATCGCACCGGGTGCGTCGCTTGCAATAAAGAGCCCCGCACACGACGCATTCAGGGCCGGAATGCTGTTTGAGGCGAAGGATAACATATACAAATTATCCGCCGACGAGCAGCGTTCAAGCAAAGGGCGCGACGGTCCCGGCTCTCTCTCTCTCTCTCTCTCTCACCCGTATTCCTTAACGAGCCCCTTTCGTCCTCTCGCCCTCTTTCTATCCATCTTTCCCCCTCTCCCACCATCCCTCCTCCTCCCCTCAGGGCCCCTTGCATAACTTTCATTCTTCACTTAATTAAACGAGTTAGGCTTACACCTATACATTTGCTCTAGCATTCTGCGATCTTGTACAGTAATCCTATCTGCGTTCCCATAAAGAAGCCCGATGTGAGGTAGGTGTTTATGGGTGTGGGAAGAGGTGGGGGGAGGGGGAGGTGATGTGGGTCATGCCCAAGCCCTCCCCCCCCCCTCGCCCACACCCGCAGATGACGTCACGGCCTCTAATGGTGTCTGGTCTAGCGGCAGTAAGGACCTCGAGTTCAGAGACGCCGAGCTTACGTGAGGCCGTACGCAAACCCTCACAGCGAGACGTCGAAGATTCCATACGCCACGTAGGGATCGACCTCCGGTTCCTTCCTCATGACAGTCACTCGACACGGGCAATCGTGACATCATCCTCCCTACATCTCGCCATGACGTGACATAGGGTTGGGTGCGGGGGAGAGGGGGGGAGGGGGGGAGGGGAGGAGAACGAGCCCTAGTAACAGATACTAAAAGACGGATCACACACGAGCCAAAGAACAAGGGCGCCTCGAAACACATGCTCGTCACCGTGGGTTGTATTAAATCGGTCGCTTCTAGAGGGGCTTACGGGACAGAGGGAGTGACGACAGATAGTGAGAGGACGAAGAAGGATGGTCTGGCGGAGACAAAGCTTGAGGGGGGGGGGGGGAGAGAGAGAGGAGAGGGGGAGGGAAGAGGGGGGAGGGGGAAGGATAGAGGGGAAGGGAAAGAGGGAGGGAAAGAGGGAGGGAAAGAGGGAGGGAAAGAGGGAGGGAAAGGGGGAGGGGAAGAGGGAGGGGAAGAGGGAGGGAGGGAGGCGGTGGGCGGTGGGGCACTGGGGTACTGAGGTCTGCTTCTGCCACCATTTTCCTGTTCTACACAATCGTAAATCAAGGCCTTGTTATCATTACCTCCGTCAAAGGAGACGGTTATATAAAATCCGACGTTTATTTGTTTATAGATTTCTTACTAGAGTTGTAACCGACCTGTTTTGATATCTCTATCACTTCTCACGAGCGATATCACTGCTATTGTTATGCCCATTTATCGATATATAAACTAATATAAACTCTATTGCTCTCGATACTTACTACTGCAATCATTTTAATAATATTCAAAAGAGTAAAGTTTCGCTCTTCTATATACACATTCAAATGCACTCATTTATCCCATACGTCAAGATGGCACTTTCGCCTCACCTCACATTCTTACCCTTAAAGACAAGATTAGACCAACGTCAACAGGTCAAGATGTACGAGTCCTACGAGAGATCACAAGAACAACACATGGCTTCTGCTGAGACGAGCAGCCCTCACTTTTAAGACAACGACTGGTATAAAAAGGTGTTCAAATAAAGCGATATCCAAGTTATGGTGTTCATCCGTCCCTTCAAGTTCATCACGTGTTGACATACCGATGTACCAACTCGTCCTCGGGATTTTACAGATCTCTTAACAGTTACTCATTGCGATAAAAAAAAAAAAAAATGCGTGGGTTGGCTTAGAAATCAAGTGATTAAATTTTGGTGGTGAACTGGATCCTCACACAAGTCTATGGTGAAATATTAGGGGATTCATTAAGTCTGATCCTTGAGAGAAATACGAGGAAATGAATTGTAATTTCTATTAATTGTAGCAGTCTCGTGTGTTCTGGAACTAGATTCTGGGCATTGGTTAAGGTTTCCGATCTGAGTGCTATCGAGTTGGAAATAATATTGGCAACAACGAGAACAACAATATACAAAAAAACGTACATTAATTCCCTTATTTCAAAATTAACGAACCAGATATCATGGCGAAAAGACTTCCACAGGACATGGCGCATCAGTGGGACAAAAACGGCACACATAACCAAGGACTGGCATCCGTCCCTTGTGCCAGACAGCAATTAAGTCTGTGGTCATTCCCTTCCCTCAGGAAGCTTTCTTGTTCGGTTAGCGGATGCACAGGAATGTAGTTTGCTCTGTGTGTGTGTGTGTGTGTGTGTGTGTGTGTGTGTGTGTGTGTGTGTGTGTGTGTGTGTGTGTGTGTGTGTGTGTGTGTGTGTGAGTGTGAGTGTGCGTGTGCGTGTGAGTGTGCGTGTGCGTGTGAGTGTGCGTGTGCGTGTGCGTGTGCGTGTGCGTGTACGTGGGCGTGTACGTGGGCGTGTACGTGGGCGTGTACGTGTGCGTGTACGTGTGCGTGTGTGCGTGTACGTGTGCGTGTGTGCGTGTGTAGGTGTAGGTGTGTGCGTGTGCGTGTGCGTGTAGGTGTATGTGTGTGCGTGTGCGTGTGTGTGTTTGCGTGTGTGTGTGTGTGTGCGCGCGCATGCGCATGAAGTGTGTGTAATGCATAATTTATGATGACTGTGCCGAACGCAACGTCCTGAAGGAACTTAACGCGGCGATGAGACACAGCGTTCCAACACTCCCGCTCGCTTCCTCTACAAAGCCGGAGAAAAAAATAATATAAGAGAGAGGTGAAACAACTGACAATGAGATAAGAAACATGAAGACGACGAGTGCAAAATGAGAGAGAGAAGGAAAAACGAAGTGGAAGAGAAGAGACCAAAGATGTGAGCGTACGGCATGGGGCTCTTAGGCCCATCTTTTTTCCAATCTTCCTTTCCCACAGATCAAGAAAAAGAAATCCAAACTGCCAAGCTGGCTAATCAAACGCAAAAATAAAATCTCTAAACAACCAACAAGCAAAAGCTGCCTACGTCTACCTCACGAATCACCAGCTTATGAGTCACGGGCCATATGGGCAAAAGGTATTGGAGTTAAGCAGGCAATAAGACAGTCAAGATTCTTAATAAGCCATGCAGGCACCCTTACCCTTCCCCCCTCCCCCCCCACATGCCATCCGCGGTCATGCAGTCCAGGATCTGCAACCGTTCTTATCGCCATTCCGAAGGGCAAGGGCGGACTCTTATCTCCCTCGGCGCTTCGTTCCCCGTCAGGAGGCGCGGCGCAGATACGCTGTTCGTTGGAGGTCGTTGAGTACATGCTAACAGAACTCAACACATCGGTGCTCAAGTCCTTAGCTCTTACTCGGATGGGATGCGAAGAGGGAGCTTTGAGTGTACCGTTGCCCCTTCCCCCCTTATGCCCCCCCCTCCTCTCTTCCCATCTCTAACTCCCTCCATCTTTATCATTTCCCAATCCCCTTTTCTCCCTTCCGCGGTCTTCCCACGTAAAGTCTTAGCCCTCTTTACGACCCGTCCTCCATGACACAAGAACAAAACCCGAGCAACAAAATGAAAGAGACCACCACGATCTACGCAACAAAGCAATCCCACAACAAAGACAACAAATGCAATGTCAGGAGGAGTGTGATCGAGATTCGCCGGCGTGACAAAGGAAAGACTGCCCCCCCCCTCCCGCTTTGCAAGGCAGACACACAATAAGACCCTGTGTGACGGCTTATGACTGTCTACTGTTGTACTAATAATATGGCATGACATGACGTGACAAGGACGTGAAAAATAACCTGAATGTCGGGTTTACATCACATTCGTAAACTGATTACGGAATAATTTATTTTTGTACTGAACAATACTCTTGCAAAAATATATATCGTGACATAACAAGTACGTGATTTATGCCGATTGCATCATATTGATAAACTAATTATAGAATAAAAAAAACGTCAGTGGCGGCGATGAAATTGGAGCAGAAACAATAGATAAATATGAAAATAATGACAATAAAAATGACTGATGATGACATAGTAACACCGATAGGAGGCAATGATGATGAATGATGATCGATGATGATACCACTGCACCATCACTATCATCCTCCTCATCGCCATCACAAACCATCACTACTTCCCTACAAAAAAAAGAAAAAAAAAGAAAGAAAGAAAAAAAAAACACAAGAGAGTTCATTAAAAGAAATCAAGGTATC